GCTGAAACTTCTGATAAACATATTTTTCTACAATTTGAGAAGATTTAGTGAAATCTTATCTTTCTTAATTCTGGGGCTTTAGCACAGAATTCTGGCTATAGCCAGAGACTCTTAGGAAATGTTTTCTCTTCACGTTGAAGAAGTGATGTTACTAACTTGCACACTTATCAATAAAACCTTAAAACTAGAGATCAAATGTACAGTGTGATAATATTGTCTGAATATGCAATCAACCTGCATCATTAGCTCAGAGTGCTGTCAAACAATCCCCATATTCAAACAGAAACTTCGATCCCTAATTCAGTATATAAGGGCTCGCCAACATCATTCCTACATCAGCCAGTTTCCGATGTTGAGTCCCTTTTCCTCCTATGCTGAAGAAACAAGGCCCCACACTCATGCCCATAGGGTGCTAGAAGGCAACACCATTGACCGGTTTGCTTCTCTGGAGGAGGAGACACTTTGCCATTTCAAGCAGAGAGCAGACTAAAAGTACAGTCTAATATTGGGAGGGGGCAGAATCACACAGGCCTCATGTCTGGGGGTCCTACTCTCTACTTTGATTAGACATGGATAATGCCTTTCCACGTGGATAATTCCTTTCCACCAGCACTTGGAATTGGACTTCAGTGACTATTTCTGCGACGCTGATGATGCCCCCTACTCAAAGCCTTCTGTAGTCATTTTGTTCCCATTTTGAGCCATGGAGTTGGTGTCAGTTCTGGAACTCTTGAGTTTATGCATCAACACCTTAGTAAGAGGGAAGAAACTGAAAATACTTCTTTTGAAAGCATCCATTGACATTTGAGCTATATTGACATGTACTTTGCTGACATACTAATCTATAAACGTATCATTTACAGCAATAAAGTTTAATGGACTATAAAATCTGCCACGCAACTAAATAAAGAATTGTTTATCACAGTATTGACTTTGCTCTACTGAATTTCAAGTGTTAATGCAGATAATAAATACTAATCTTATGATGTTTTTATACCAGTCTTCACTTTTTTGTACAATGGAGCTGATATGCTCTAATCTCATGTTATTAAATAATAATATTAAATAATAAGTTTAGGAGACAATGATGTCCATCAACTGAGAAATAAGAATTGATAGTACTGTAACTTTAGGAAAATTCCATTTGTGATGCATTAATGCCCTAATTCAAGGACTATGAATACTTTCTGAATAATAGATAAATTGCTTTTTCAAAGACCCACATAAATTTCCATTTTCATCCTTTGTGACAGGTAGAGGGACCTAGGAGATTCGCCTTAATAAAAAAAAAAATTGAGATTTTGGAATTCAGATTAATCTTGTGCTTGTTTTTACCTTGCAAATATCAAGTCCTACTTTCCTAGGAAATATGTTCTAGTGTACTTCTAGCACAAAATAGCTATTAGTTTGCTAGAAACAGGCTTAATGGGATAGGACGAAGGATCAAATCCTACAGTTGTCTGACACTTCCCCTTGTCATAACTAAGCAAACAGATTAAGATTCCTTTGTGTTCATCTAATCCCTGGGCTAGTTTATTATTTGACATTAATTGGAACAGCATTAAAAGAATGAGCATTTAAAATTCAGTCGTCTTATACCATCTAATTGAGTACCCTTAGAACACAATATTTTTCCATTCCGTTACTGGCTATCACTTGGAGAAACAGCTCCTAGCTCACACTGTTACTTTCTTCAATATGGTTAGCGTTTATTCATGAAGCACAAAGAAGGAAAAGACTTGCATGAATTTACATATACCCTTCTGATAATAACATACCTAAAATTTTATTTTCCTGTACTGTAATTGCTGGGATTATTGACACATTCATTTAAAGGCAGATGCAAGTTTTTGCAGGCTTGTGGCTAAAATTATTAAATTATTAAGTTATATTGTTGATTCAAACCTAGTTACCATAACACAATAAATAGTTTCCAGTAACAAGATAGCTAAGAGTACCATATTTACCATTATACTCCATTTATTTCTAAATGAAATGATTAATTATATTTTTATTTAAAATTATTTTACCATCTTTAGCAAAAATCTTATGCTATTTCTAAGTATTGGCAGAACAACATCATCAATATGTATATGAAGAATAGTTACAGACAATCTACTAGATGGCCTTTGAAAGTCCCTTCCAGCCCTAAAGATTCTATGATTCTATGATCACTTCCTCTGTTTTCCTTCACAGATATTTAGCATGGAAAAAGAGTCACTTGATTTTTAATTTTTTTTTTTTTTTTAATTGAAGTAAACCACTAAAGTTAAAACTCCTTTGACCCCTGCAGGTGCAGAGCTGCCCTCTTGCTACTCTCCTCAGATCTGTCCTCCAGCACTGGAGCCACCCACTACCCTCCCGCTCCCGCATCAGCTGGGAAGA